TTCTCAATATTTTATGAGAAAATTACCATTTCAATTTTGAAAAAATATTTGGCATTAAAACAAATGATTTCCAAATGATAGAAACTTGAAGGATTCAATTTATATCTAATACAAAACGATATATTTTGAAATTAAGCATTCAATCAAAGATAATATTAGAAGTGTCTGGTCAGAATTATTTGGACATTAAAGCAAATTATTGTTTCATGTCATATTCAGAATCGAATGTACGAGTAAATATCCTAAGTAAGGTCTCACGTCATGGAGCGCAATGTGTAGAATTTTATTTGACAATTGATTTTTTAAAAAATGAACTCATACGTCGGATTTTAATTTAATCACACATATTTAAGCGATTTATTGGCAATAAACAATCGATATTAGCAAAAATATTATTTAGGTACTCTCAAATCCAAAAAAGTTCCCTCTGAAATATATTTTGATACTGAAACAAAATCTCATTTTCCATCCCTGGAAAAACTTACATTGAAAAGTAATGAGTTAAGATGCTAATAAAACCTATTTTCGCAAGTCCTTCATTCGCATTTTAACCTTCGCCTTACCAAAACCCACCCGGGTGACCTTTTCGTTTTTATTTCTTTAATATCATAGCCAAATTTGCTCCGATTGAAGAGAAACACACATTTCTTTCGATTTTTATAACAAAAAGTTTAGTATTTTTGACTTTTAAACGGATTTTTTAAGCTTTTGCCAATTTTACTACATGGCTTACCAATACCCACCCGTGTGACCACCAAATTTCACATGTAATTTATTATTTTTTAGTAAATATAGTATCTAATAGTTCATTTAATTATCTATAATTATTATATTTATAAGTTCTTGTCTCCCAAAAACATAAAAAAAGAGAAGAACACCCCGGTGGGGTATTGGTAAACGACAAACATAAAAATGTTTAATATCGTTTGCAAAACCCTATGCGAAAATTTAAGTATTTCAGTCGTCATATTTATTTATAATTATATTTTATTTTACTTGTTTTTTATGATTTTTTGTAAATACAGTCTTTAAATTAGCATTAAATAACCATAAATTAATTAATTTATGATTCTTTATCTGTTAAAATCATATAAGAAAAAAGGTTACCCGGGTGGGTATTGGTAAACGATACCTTTGGTAATGCAAAGGTTAAGTCATTATTTTAACACGATGTCATTGGAGGCCAGGGCCCAAATTATGGCATACGATATCGATCGAAATCTCCATTTAGATTCTATTGCCGTAATTTGGGCCCAGTACTTCTGCGTTCGCTTACAGGGATTTCGGTTTGTTAGTTAAATGTTCTAGTACCGGTCGATGTTTACAGTTTTTAGGAATATCTCCCATATTAATGGAATAAAATATTATTTTATTAATGGTAAACCAGTTTTTTTTATTTAAACTTATTTATTCAATAAATAAAATAAAAAATTTTATAAATTTTCAAAGTTTTTTTTTTTATTGGAATAAATGATGAAACAGAACTGGGTCGTTTTTTTCCATACAAATTGACATTTTTTGAAGTCGTAGAACGCGCTTGTAAAAATAGATTTTATTTTATTTTGAGAGCGTTTATTTTTATGCTCACATTTTTAGGTACTCATTCTCTCAACAGCATTACCATACTTTTAAAATATTTTCATACATTTTATAAACAAAACCATGTAAATAGGCAACGAAAAATAAAAACAAAAGAAAATAAATAGAAATATGGCAGAATTTGTAGTTACTGCCGTAGCTTTAATTATGGACCTATGTCGTTTTGACAACGTTTTTGCTTGAAGTTACAGTCGTATTCTGTTTCATCATTTAAACTTAAAAACTTTTTTGAATCTCAAAAAACTTGCAAAAAAGGGAAAACTTATATGGTAACTCACAATTTTAGGTACATATTCTCTTAACAACGTTACCATACTTTCAAAATATTTTAATACATTTTATAAACAAAACCATGTAAATATGCAACGAAAAATAAAACGAAATATGAATGAATTTTAAGTTACTGTCCTAGCTTTAATAATGGGCCTACATACATACATATGTCGTTTTAACAACGTTTTTGCTTGATGTTACGGTCGTGTCCTGTTTCATCCATTAAGAATAAGTTCTTAAATTGTATGAATTTTTTAATTTTTATTTTTTTGATCACAATCTAGAAGCCTTGACTTAAAATATTAAAAATTATTATATGATTATTTTCTAAAAACATACTTTCAAAAAAAATTTTAAACATTTTATAAACAAAACCATGTAAATATGCAGCGAAAAATAAAATAAAAAGAAATATGAAAGAATTTTAGGTTACTGCCTTGCTTTAATTATGGGCCTACGTCGTCGTGTCCTGTTTCATCCACTAAGAATAAGTTCTTAAATTGTATGATTTTTTTAAATTTTATTTTTTCGAACACAATCTAGAAGACTTGACTTAAAATATTAAAAATTATTATATGATTATTTTCTAAAAATATGGAACAATATACGATTATTATCTAAAAAATATGCAAACAAATTAATCGGTAATGGAGATTTATTAAAATTGTTTATGAATATCAAAAAAAAAAAAAAAATAACTAAAAAAACAAAGAACTTCGTTTTCATTTGGGAAATTATGAATTATTTCAGTTATGAATTATTTTTTTTTCTGTAGCAATTATTTACTTAAAGCTAGGTAAAGCCAGTGTACGCTTAAATTATCCAAATTTTTTAGTTGCGCTTTTGCGTTATGTTCTCTTTCCGGATCATATTAAAATTGTGTATAGACTTAAAATAAATTAATAGGAAGTTTTTTATTTTGTTCAGAATTTTATCAGAAAACATCAGATATTTTCCGGCCCGTCACACATAAAGAAATAAAAAAAGATTGAAAAATTTTAAAAAGAAATGTAATCATCTCATGTAGCAAGAGATAACCCACACATGTAAGCGTATTTTTGTAGATCTACACAAGAAGTATTCATATTTTCAGATCGTTCGGATCATAAAGGAATTTTTGGAAATTAAAAAGAAAAGTGATACACTAGGCTATCAACTAGCTCCCATTCATTTCCCATGAAGTTTATGAAAACAAATTCCAAGAGTTAATGGTATTAAAAACTTCACTTTGATAGCTACATGTAGTGATTAAAGTGACCACGTAGCACATTTCAGACTAAATGTAATACTGAGTGTCCGTTTACTGTCCGTTTAATGAAACAGAAAATGGAAAAATTGTGACTAAAATAACATGTAATTCATAACAATTAGATCTTTATATAAACAAGAGGTCGGTGGTTAGAGCTTCTGTCTACAATTGATAGACAGTTCCACTTCAAAAATACCACTAACTGATTTTTCTTAGCTTTTGTGGAAGTGATGTTTAATGGATTCCAATAAAGCGAAAATAACTATATTTTTTCAAAACTGAAGATATCGCACACCCAATACAAAAAGTGACACAACTCAATTTTTTTTTAGAAAAGGGAACACATTTTTTACAAACTCTGAAACATAAAGAAAAGCATAACGTTTTTTCTTGAACAGTTAACAACAACAAAATACACTAATATTTTTTTGAGATAAATAAGAATCTTGTGCATAGGCTAGAATATAAAAACGCAAAAATAAAATTTTGAGTCTCTTTAGTACTGGGTGTGTGAATATATTTTTTTTTCTATTGTATTCTATAATACTAGTGGTGATATCGCCGTTGTAGAACAAGTGCGTAGCACTGCAGAAAAGTTACTGTCTACCAAAATAACTGGCCAAATTTTAAAAGATCGAAGGATTTTAGCGACATTTAAATATGTGCAAATATTTTTGAATGGCAAAATATTTATGTAAACACTTTTGAAAGTTTATGTGTAAGACTTCATTTTTAAAACTGAAGTGATCTATAGGGATAACTATAATGAAAATGTGTTTATAAAATTTATATCTAAATACCGTAATTTTGTTTTATTTCGCAGCATACTTAGATTTTCAGTAAATGTGTAAATATATATGGGCAATTTTATGTCAATTGACCCAACTAAAAAAATCGATTTTGACGAAATTTGCACTAAGGTTAGTACTTTTGGATAGTAGGTCAGAAATAGCTATCTGGACTCCTTTGGACAATTTTTGGATAAATAGGTGAAAAGTTACACTCATTTAAATAAAACCTTTTATGACCAAAATGTTCAAATTTGACCTCCTCTGACTCCGGCAATTCTTGACCGATAGAGATGAATTTGAATGTCTGTATTACTATCCCATAGTACTAACCTTGGTGCAAATTTCATCCAAATCGGAAGACATCGATTTTAAAAGTTGACTTGACACGAAATTCCCCATATATGTATGACTGTTAATTAACAGAGCTCTGTTTGTCAACGCGATGTTAAAATCATATTTACTATTTTGCTAATAGTTAAATTCGAATTTAATATATATATATATATATTTTAATTTTTATTATTATGGTTTATTATCATTTTTATTATTTATTTTAAATAAGCATTTTGGTTTCTCTGTGAAAAGCCAAAATGGAAAAAAAATAAAAAAAGAAATATATATAAAAACAAAACAAAAAAAACTGTTTTTTTTTTTGAAAATTAAATTGTACAAATTTTGAATACAAGTATTTATAATTATGTATGTCGTATGCCTTAATGTTGTTTTTGTTTTTTATATATAACTAGAGGAGAATGAATGAAGTGGGAGTGTTGGATAAAGGGTAAGGATAAACGTTTTTATATGAATGTTGCACGTTTTATGATGTATGATGTTGTAGTTTTAGTTGTAACAAACATTATTTAGTATTAAGAAAAAAATATAATTATTAATGATTCTTTGTGTATGAGTGAGTAAAGTTTTTCGACATAATTATGTAGTAGTACTTTAATTTTGATGATATATCTTTACAACATATTTATGATAAAAATTGTGAGGCTGATGGTGATGTTCTATAATTTATATAGCGATATTGATGTTGCTGAGGTGGTAAAAAACATTTTTTTGTTTAATGAACATACCACATTCCCTTCTTTTCCATGTTTCTTTTTTATTTAAATTTATTCTTGATTTTGGATTTCTTTATTTATTATTTTAATTTTTTGTATAAATATTATCAGTTAAATGGATTTTGCTTAAACGCAGTTACTGCTCTTAATTATAATTCAATATTGGTTTAATAGAATGCACACACCACCATCATCATCAAACAATGGAGAATTTTTGCATTTATGCGGATTTTTTGTATTGCCGTTATATTCTCTTTTGTTATGTTTTATTGATGCTGTTTATATATAGTATAAATTTGAGTTTAATTTTGTAATGATAAATTGTCTACAACTTGTCAATCCTTTTATCTGATTCTGTAATACGGCGTGATGATGACTGGTTAACACACTTCCACACTACATTCATCCTAATTTCGACTTTTTAATCCTATTGCTGGTTATTCGACTTCATTTGGCCGTTAACAATGGGTGCGAAATACGGATGTGCCATGGCCTCACGGGCAGTTAGCCGTTCGACGTGATCGTAACGCAAAAGCTTGTCGAGAAAATCAAGGGCTTCTGGTGATACAAGATGCTGGTTGTCGGAGTGAACAAAACGTTCCCATCGCTTGCGAGAGTGTCTCTGCAAGATGTCATGGAATCGGGGATCCAATTCGATGTTGTACTTATCCAAATAGGCGTAAAGCTCTTCAGTGCCCAGCACTTTAGCAATACGCACCAGCTGATCGTAGTTATCATGACCGTGAAAGAAGGGCTCTTTGCGGAAGATCATCGAGGCCAACATGCAACCCAGCGACCACATATCTAATGAATAGTCATACATCTGGTAGTCAACCAGCAATTCGGGTCCCTTAAAATAACGTGAGGCAACGCGAACATTGTATTCCTGTCCGGGGTGATAGAATTCGGCTAGACCCCAATCAATCAGTCGCAATTTGCGATTTTCGTGATCAATCATTACGTTGTGAGGTTTTACGTCACGATGCATTATGCCCATGCTGTGACAGTAATCGAGTGCCTTTAATAGCTCAAATAGGTAGTAACGAATTTCATAATCTGTAAGTGTTTGATACAATTGTTTAAAATCTGTATTGTTGACATGCTCAAAAATGAGGGCTGGAGTGCGAGAAACTGGATCCTTAACCACAGCTAGCAAAGTTATAATGTTGGTGCCCCCGCGTAAATTTTCCAAAATTTTAATCTCACGCTTAATCTTCTTCTTCTTAACAGGCTTCAATATCTTTACAACACACTTTTCGTTGTTAGTAATATTTATAGCTTCAAATACTTCGGAATATTTGCCACGTCCCAATTTTCGTACTAATTGATAATCATCCTGATTAGCCCAATCGACCACATAGTTTTCATAGTCCCAATACTCATCCGGCTTATGTGCATTCACATCCGTATAAACGCGAGCGGCGCTCGGTAGGGTCATTGTTGCAGTGTCGAATTCAACTGATGAATCTGTCTTGTAATCTGATGAAGATGATTCAGTTAACGAATGCTCCCAAATGTTCGGAGACTGCTGACAAAAAGATCTGTAATGATATATAATTTTTATATAAACTTTTCTTAAAAATTACGTGATAGATATTTTTAAATTTTCACTTGATTTCAACCATACATGGGAGTAGTTAATTATATCGACTAATTAATTGACGATTTCATTAGCATTAAATTAATAAAAATTATAATTATTTTTTTTAATTAGCATTATTTTGTCTAATGGTAATGCTTTTTAACGATTTCATTAGTAATTATTTAAAAAGACATTTTCATTACCATTATTTTTGAGTTTATTTTAATAGAATTTACAAATTTTCGAACATTACTCTGAATTTCGAAGTTGATTTCAAATATCCGAACATTATATATATTGTCATTATGTGAAATCATGCAAACCAAATTTTAGCCCATTCGGACTAGAAGAACTAGTTTTAACTACTTTAAAATTTTTTCGATCACGAGTTCGAATTTTGTATTTTTTTTAGAGATAAATTTAAAAACATAAAAAATTTTTCGAACATAACTTCGAATATTTGAACATATTATTGTACTGTCATCAGATGTACTTATGACTGCTAAATTTCAGCCAATTTGGGCTACGGGAACTGGTTTTAAAAGCTTTCAAACCGGTGCTCGAATCTTCGAAAAATTTTCCTGAATTCTTATCAAATATATTCTTAATTTTTTTAATTTTCATTACCAAATTCATTACGATTATCAAAAAAGTTATAATGAAAAAATTTAATTTTCATTAAAGTGGTACTTAAAATATTTTTCATTACAATTTTTCTATAAATGGTAATGAAATTTTAATGCTTAATGAAAAATTCCCATGTATGCTTTCAACATATATTTTGAACAAAATTATAGATTTATACACCGTAATGGGGACAAAAGCTGTTGTAACTCTTTTTAACTTAAAGTAACAAGAATTATGTATATAATATAAATTTTGAAGAACAATATTAGCTTTGTTTTGAGGTGCTAACCGTGTTTCTATTATTTACCGTTCTGGAGTTATAGCTTCATATGTTAGCTTCTTGGCCAAAAATTTAGATTTTTCAAAATTTGAGCGATGAGCGGCACATTTTACCGTCGTTTAATCGAGCTCAAATTTTCGATATCTCATTGTCTGGAAAGGGGAAACGTTATGTGAGTTTCAGACAAACAAGATTCCAACATCGACTTTTTGTGGTCCCTCTAATGTACATACATGTACATTGATTCATTAATTAAGTAATTTGCCTATGTATAAATTTCAAGAAAAAACTTTATCTGAACAATTATTTTTAGCAAAATTAAGCAAATTGTTTCTTGTATTTTGTAAAGAATATCTTATATTTTATGCCCCTATTATGGTTTATAACTCAACTCAGTTGAGTTGAAATTAAAACAACTCAACTTTAGAACAACTTAACTTTTTTGGTATTTGTTGATGTTGCCAACCTAAAAAGTGTTTTTTGTCATAAAATTAAGTAAAAAGTTTATGAATTTGTGTTTTTCGTAAATGACAAAAGTATTGAACATCTTTTAATTGTAAATGCACTTGAAATCAGTGATTAATGAAATTTAAGAAAATAAAAAAAAACTTTAGTTTGTTTTATTTTAAAAATTTATTCTAAACAATTGAGTTTGATAAGTTGTAATTTTTTCCAAAAAATTTGTAATAAATTTCAACTTTAAATTTTAAGGTGTTATCGAGATTTTTGTTGTTGTTAAGCGATTTTTGATAAAATGTATTGTTAATTTTCTAGGTAAATAAAGTATTTTGCTTTTTCAGGGTTTTTGTTTATTTTTTAGTATAGCTGTACTGTTTAATAAAATTTAATATTTGTCTTACTCCTATAGACTAAAATAAAAATTTTTAGATATTTTAGTAGTGGTACGACTAAATTTGGAAATTTTTTAACCGATTTATTATCCTGTATTCCTATAAGAATTTAACAATATTTGATTTTACAAGAAATCTATCCTTTCTTTGATTTTATTTCGAAAATAATAAGTAATTTTGAATTGGATACAAGATATACTAGAAAATCAATGGATTTGGACTTAGAAAAAATGTTTAGTGGTATATAAAACTATACATTATAATGAAATAATCTGGGTTTTTGGTCATTTTGTATTGTTAAATAAAAACTACTTTGCGGAAACCCCTTCTATTTGTGGAGTACTGTGTGAATTTTATTTAGAGTTGTAAAATATTGGTTCTTTTTCAATAAAGCTGACACTAAGTACCATCCTTGACACACTAAGTATGGCGACATCACCGTATAACACTATAGAAATGTTTCTTGCTAAAATCTTAATTTTCTACCTCATGTTTTGAATACTTTATTTTATGAATAAAATACAGCAGGCCTATTTGGATCTGGATAATTATTCTTGATTTGGGTTTTAAATACATATATAAATGTATGTATTGGCAGAAAAATATTGCTTTTGTGGAGCTTATGTGATAATAACCATCTCTATTTGTAAATATCTAAATTAAGTATTTTTCGTATACCACACGGTCTATTTGGAGTTCTAAATTTAAACATAGCGTTCTTACTAGTTCGTATTTGGAGAAGATAATGGAGTTCAGTGTTTTCCTTGAATACAAGTCGCTCTTTTCGCAGTTAAAGATTTGGAAAGACCCTCACTCACTGCGTGTTTTCTAATAATTCTTTGCGTCATTTCATCAATTACTATATTTTATATTTTTTAATGATATTGATTAAACATCTCAAATAAATTATGAACAAAAAACAAAATACTCTTAAAAATGATAGGCAAAAAATTAGTTGATCCACTGTACATACATATGTATATGGGAAACCGGTGTCCCAAGATTATTTTAAGTTTTCTCGATGTAGAGAGTAAATTTTGTAAATTGTAAATACAGTAAATTGTTATTTCCATAAAAAACTGAGTTTTTATGAATTTGGGTCACTGCAAGCTGAAAGGATAATATTCTGCGATATCCTTCGAAAATCCATTTACCACTTTTCATCAAAAATGTTTTGCGCGAGAAAAAAGTCATAGCAAAAAATAAATAAAACTATTTAAAAATTAATTTCATAGTTTTACAGATGGAACCTAGTATTTTGTTGTTAAATCCAAATATCAAATTTATTGTAAAAATATGTAATACAAAGAACACCAAACACAATTTGTGTTAGAAAAATTAATAAAATATGCTATAAAAATATGCAAAATATATGCAATTCAAAGCAAAATATGCAACAAAAAATCGATTTTGTAGCAAATACTTTGATTCGAAAAGAAAACTAGTAGTGTCCGACCGAACGTTCGGGTACGGGTTCGGAGTTCGGTAAAAAGTTAGGTTCGGTCAATGATCGGTGTTCGGCAAAATTTTGACCGAACAACGAACGCCGAACTTTTTATAAAATGTTTTTTTATCATATTTTTATATCATCAAAAAGTTTTAAAAATGCTGAAAATAAGTTTACAGAAGTTATCATACATCCTGGCTGTACAATAAATTTCGGATATACATAGGTACAAAACGCCAGAAACTGATTAAAAAGCTAAGAAAAGTGAAACATTTAATTTGAATTATATAGTTTCGATTATAAATCTTTGATTTCATTTGTAACATCGAAATTTTCTAGGTTTTTATTCTCAAACGATCTAGACATGTCTGTCAGTCAGTCTCTTGAAAGAACGATAGGACCTAAACTATTGTTGCAGTTTGATTGGTATTCAAAATGGACAAAATCGGTTTACATTTGGACATGGCCTCCATATAATGTTCGCTTTAGAAAATTACTAACGTTCATAACAGGCTTAAAAATACTAGTATTTTAATGAAATTATGCAAATTATGAAATTATGAAATTTTTTTATGAACCAAAATTTCATATATATTGGCAAATTGAAATTTGCGAATTGTGTTAAGTATTGTATATATATTTTTTATTTTTTTAAAAACTAATTTTACTGATTCGATAAAATTCATTTTGATTTCGATACTTATTTAAAACGAAATTTTGATCACATTGGATCATAATATCATGTATAACAATATTTTGGCGGTATTTAATCATATGATATTTTAAAATTGTTACAATAACGATAATATGTTTAGACTACAATCATAATTTTAATCATAATATGTTGCTCTTAGAACATGGTTATCACAACCATGTTTTTTCTCAGCGTGCTCTTACAGATAATTATATCATTGTCAATAAATCGTTTAAAAACCAAAAATAAAAAAGTATTATTTTTCATTTAAAAAAAGTTCGTGTTCACCGAACTTTAAAAACCGAACAAAGTTCGGGTTCGGCCGAACTTTCAAATTTACCGAAGTTCGGGTTCGATGATCGGTACCGAACGAAATTTTGAGTTCGGTCGGACTCTAAAAACTAGTTAAAAGTTATTTTGAGTTACTGACTACAAATATGCATTTGCATAGAAATCCTTGCCCTAATAATCATATTGTTTTTGACTTTGGGGTTATTTTTGCTGGGACTTTTTTTGCACTGCCTCCTATATTAGTCAAACTCTCCCTACAGAATATTATTTTTCTGCCTTAAAAATAACGGTATTTCTATGATATTCACCATATATGCGTTTTATTGTAACCAAATTCTCTCTAGCATATATCATGTGGGTCGGTCTATTATGACCCTACCCTACATATAAGCTCCTCTTTATAAAATATTTTAGCGCTTATTCGGTCCATAATTGGTCATATCCCCATATAACACATCTTCCGAAAGAAGTAAATTGTCAACGAATCCAACTGTTAAGTATTATGACAAAAATACTCAAGAAACTGATTTGTTTTTAAATTCGATAAAACTAATCCCTCATTAAAGATCTTATTCCAATGTTCATATTGACTTTAAATTCTCTTTATATTTACAAGACATGCTTAGGCATATGTATAAGATTCGGTACAGCCTAATATTACACTCTTACCTGTATGTTATGGCAGTGAAGCAAAATAATACTAATGAATTTGTTATCAATGTTTGTATAAAAATTGTGGTCTATACGCCAAACAGAGACGTATGGATCAAAATAGTATTTATTTAGTTTTGAAATTGTGGAGATAGATCAAACTTATCACCCGATATCTCGGAAATCATATCAAATATCGTAAAAAGGGTTTCGGAAAGAGGATATCAAAACTATTTATATATAACTCAATTTTTTTAAAAGTATCCGGTTGGCCAAACCAATAATATACTGACGATATGCATATTTACATATTTATGTCCGTCGGTCTGTGTGTACATATGTTGAATTCAATTTTCTAAACCCCTCAGATATGTGCGATATCCAAATCTTCTACAATTCTATCAGACATGCTTTCGAGAGGTTTAAAATCAACAAAATCGGTGCATAAATATATAAGCAAAATTCCGAAATAACCCATGAAAGAATTACGCTTTTTTGGCAGATAATGCAAAAAATTTTGACACAAGTGTTTTTTGAACAAGGGATCTGCTTGGTAAAAAAATTTTTGATTTTTAATTGGATCCAAATTTTACATATTTGAAAAAAAATTATTTTATTGCCAATAACTCTCTAAAATATCGGTATTACCCCAAAATTTCGGATATTCAATTTTTCAATTCAATTTTCTAAACCCCTCAGATATGTGCGATATCCAAATCTTCTACAATTCTATCAGACATGCTTTCGAGAGGTTTAAAATCAACAAAATCGGTGCATAAATATATAAGCAAAATTCCGAAATAACCCATGAAAGAATTACGTTTTTTTGGCAGATAATGCAAAAAATTTTGACAAAAGTGTTTTTTGAACAAGGGATCTGTTTGGTAAAAAAAATTTTTGATTTTTAATTGGATCCAAATTTTACATATTTGAAAAAAACATTATTTTATTGCCAATAACTCTCTAAAATATCCGTATTACCACAAAATTTCGGATATACATATAAACATATAAACCTAAAATCAATGTACATATAAACCTAAAATCAATATCAATCGTCCTAAAAACTAAAACCTGGATCGGTCCATAATTGAACAAAATTCATTAAAATAACCCAATCTGGACAAATTTTAACATGAATACGTTTGAGAACTTTAGAAAACTTGATCGGATGGGTCCACAATTTGTCATAATTTCGATATAAAGTTCACTTCCGAAAATCGCTCATTTCCAAATAAGCCATGAATTTATAATGAAAACGGAAACCAAATTGAAGCTTTCAAATACTACAGATATTATTCGGTGATAAATATTTCAAATTATGTAAATGTATTTAACTTTAAAATTTTTTTATTGTTTTCACATAGGTTTTGTAAAAACGTAAATTTTCTTTCGTATTTACACAAACCGGAAGTTAGTCTATTTTTAAGGATTAAAACAAAAATATTGAATTTAAATAAGATGTTTTTTTTTTTCATTATTTTCACATTAACCAACAAACAAATATAAATTACAAAAGCGCTTTAATATATCCAAGACTTTAGTCTTTATCTCTTTTTACTGTATTATATTTTATTAGTTATGTAAGTAGATTTAAAATTTCTTTAAAGAAATTAGAAATCATTGAAGGAATTACTTAAAGTAACACACTATCTCACCAATTCAAATAAAACAAAAAAGTGTAATATCCGTACATCTATAAAATAGATTTAGCAGTTTGCGAAAGACACACACGTTGGTCCTTTTGGTTTCTTTGTGATAATTAATATATCATCTTAATGAAATCACACATCTATTTTTTGCCCAGTTGTGTATCTTTATCAAGATTTTTATAATTCTTATAGAAATATAAAATGTATTAAATAAATTATTCACTTGAAATTAATACATAATTACAACAAATGTCTTATCGAAAACTATTTTTTTGTGTGATATTTTTAATAGAGAATAATAAATTATAAGGTGGTGTAGTATTTAATACAGTTTCAAAAATGTTCATTGAAATCAAAGAAAAAATGTTGCGTACAAAAGCATTTTTAAACAAATAAGGTATAGTCGGGCAATGACCGACCATATCATACCCTACAGCACTTATGAGTATAATTAAAATGTGATTTATTTTTAGTACATATTTGTATTAAGTTAGACATACATATATTAGAAATTTATCGATAGAAAATTAGTTTTCTGGAAGAGGCTATATATGGGGACCAAAGTCAAATAAAATTTGATGGAGGGATTTATAATAGTTATGCCGAATAAAAATGTTAGGGTACAATCCAAGGGCAAATGAGGAGCGATCATAACGAAATTAAGAAGCAATATATATGTATGTATATTTAGTTTTGCCTGTTTTTGTAGACATGTACATGTACCAAATTTCATTAAATTATTTTTAAAAAAGCGATGTAGGTATAGATAGATGGAAACACGGACATGGCTTAATCGATTGTTATAAACTTGAGCACAAATTCAATATACCCTTCCCGCTAAAGTGGTGTAGGGTAAAAATTTATATTAACTGGATTGGTAATATCGATCTAAGCCAGCAATATTCACAAAAACAAATAAATTTAGTTTTAAATCCTTTAATTTATTAAAATTTAATTATGAATAAAACCATAACCTTTATATTGCTTCATATGACTAGTTTTATATAAAAATAATTGATTTTAATGTCAGGTGCGTATAAAGTTTTGAAAGTCACTGTATCTACGATTCATTCAGTAAAAATGTTTATTATACAATAACAAGAACTAATATCTTCATGAAGTAAAAATTAGGACAAACAACGAATATACAATTTATTACGTTAGAATTTTTAATGAATTTCTTTTAAATCATTAATAATTTAAATTTCTAAATTTACAGATATTGTATCGAATAAATATTGCAGTATTCATAAATTTATAGAAATGTGTAACTTAAGTTTGTACCACCACCAAGTTTCTCCCACCCTTTTATAGTTCTGCGAATGCATACCGAAACATAAAAATGAAAAATAAAAAAAAATAAAAAAAACAAAATCACATAGACACAAAACCATTGTTGGGTCATGTTATGGTAAATGTACACACACACTCTTTTATAACCGAGATATTTACATACCTTAAATCCAATAATTTTGTTTTTATCTTCTCTTGTCTTTGCCCCAAAGGTGTCTTGGGTTCTTCCGAAATTGAGTTGCTTCTTCTTCCTCTGCAATGCAAATGATTAAAGTTTGCCGAAACCAATGTAGTCGGTGGAAACGCGCTTCCTATTTTCCTACAGGAGGCTGATTTTAAATGTCTGCTGTAAGAAACGAACAGCAGACAACAGTTAAGTGTTGGATACCTGGCTATATTGGCTAATGACGAGCGTTTTGAAACATATATAAATGGTAAACGCGTGGACTGTGGACGAATTTTTGAACTGCTCTGCTGTGTCTGGCTTTACGGCTACACACTGAAAGTCTTTTCATGCAAATGCTTATTTTGTCCTCTAAAAATTCACCAATGGACACCTTGGAATAAAGAAGTATAAATCAATTAGCACATGTAAAAATACATTCAAATATTATTTATTCTTCAATTGTGTGCATTTAAATTACTTTTTTAAGATATATTTTATTTTTCTTGTGTAGCCGCACCGATTTTTTTAGCAAAATGAAAAATAAAAGAGAAAAACCAGCGTAACTTCCTTCACTCGTTTCACTTATAAGAAAAAGCACACACACTCATAATTCTTTACAACCTAATGCAATATAAATGACAGAGTCGACACTCAGAAACTGCTATAAAGAAAGAGAAGACCATCCAATTATAACTCTGTCGTTGAAAATCATAATAGCACTCACTATGTTAATGAAAGAGAAAAATATATACAATTAAACGATGTGAGAAGGCAACACACCGGAGAAAATTTTTTGGATAATTAAATTTTGTGTAATAGTGGTGAATGATAAACTCAAATGAAATTTATTTAATTAAAGATGATAATTTAATACATAAATTAACTTGTAATTTAGTTCCTTCACTTAATTTATCTGAACTAGGCAACGTGTACGTCACCCAGAGTTATCTTAAGTTGACCGATTATTCTTGTTATCGAAATTTTCGATGAGTGTTAAAATGACTACAAAATTTATCAATACAATGCAAAGTAAAATAAAGTGTTGCCATATTGCTAAAAAATAAATAAGTCACATTGAGCATCTCACAGGTGGTATTAGACGACATGTATTTTACATATGTACTGTCACTTTTTTAACCATAAAAAATTCCGCATGTATGTCAAAATTGTTATTTTACATACGATTCATACATAATTTTTGCTATCACACCAGCCTGTGTTTTTCCACATGACATAACCTATAAATGTAATCAAATCTGTCTTTTTAATGTGTAAAACTTGTTAAAATTATAAATTAGTTTATTAGAAGTTAAAAAATACTTACTTTTTCATCTTCTTTAAATATTTTTTTTTCAAAACATTTTATTTCAAAACAAAACAGCTGTTTTGTTTATGTCTACCACACGAGAATAGAGCACGCTCTAATCGAAAAAATTACATGCATATGTATTTCCACATGTATTTTACATATGCAATGTTTCATATGTATCAGACGATATGTAAAATTTTTACAGATGGAAATTTTGACAGTACATATGTATGCAATATATGATTTCTGACAAATGTCATACATGTCATCTAGTAGCACCTAAAGTATTTTAGGGGACACCAACGAGCGTAGTCAAAGGGGTCAAAGAAAAAAGAGAAGTAGCAAAAGACGCACCAATCGTAATTTGAAGGGTTTTTATGATATGATATCTGGTTTGAAACGAGTTTGGCAGTTACTTTATTTTTATTCTGCACTTAAAGAGTGAAGATCGTGTGCAATAACTCGAATGCATGAATCAGTGTAGCAACTTGCAATATTTTGAATTTTATTTACATTACATTTAATACAAAAATAATAAATATTGTTAAATTTTAGTTATTTTTATAAAAAAAATAATAATTAAATAAATAACTATAAAAATAGCAAAATTTCTAAGTTAAACTCATAATTTATTAATCTATTTGGATGTTATTTACCCAAATTTATATAAATTATTAAAGTATATTTATTAAACATATTTACTGACATATTTAATTAAACATATTTAATTAACAAATATTGTAAAAATAAACATATTTATCATTTAACATAATAATAAAAACAACATTTAAGAATTATAAATATAGCAACAATGACAAAAAAAAGTCGCACGCCTTTCTCTATATTAGACAAATATTTATTATGCTAAACGTCAAATTGTTACCATGATAAAAAATTAACAGGTACAGAAGGAATTTATTAGCGTTATAGCATCGTTATTACAATGTTGTCTAAACAATTGTTAAGACAACGTTGTCCTGATAACAAACGTCGTTTTATTGTATAGAATTTAGTTTTTGTGCAATAAAAATTGATTTTTAACAAAAGTGTTAGTGAAATTAGTGTTTATTTACAAAATCTTCGTATAATTTTAATTGTTTTTAAAATATATAACATTATTTCAGTAAAATTATTAGTGAGTTGTCGTAATAAAATCAGCATTTAGTTACCCCTATACATAAATATAAACAAAAAACTGAATTTTCTGCCGGCGTTTTGTCAAGTGCTGTGATAAATATTTGTCTAATATAGACACGGGCTAACATGTAAACAATAACAACATTTGACAGAAAGCATACTCTACACAAAAATAAAAAATTAATCAGCTACTTTATTGTAGTCACAGTTTTTATTATGGCATGATCAAATAAATGAAGACAAAAATGCTCCGTATTAAACTAATAATTCTTGTGTTTTATTCACTTTTGTATATTTTCACTGAACCATAGTGAGTGTAAGAGTTGCCATTTTTAATAATTCTTAATGTATTGTTTTAAATATTTTATAAATGAATAATAACATATTAATTTTTTTAAATATCAGTATTTGCTACTAAAGGGCCCTTCAGATGATCACACTTTACGTACGACAAGTCTAATGAAAAAGTAAAATGAAATTCCATCCGTATGACAAAAAAAAGAATAAAAGTCATTTGATTTATATTTTCGTGTTTACACGATTGGTATAAATCAATAACAAAGTAAGATGGAAACAGCTGTTTCACTTTTTTGTATGTGTTTACATAAAAATACATCCCTGATCTAATGCGACTTGCTTGTTTCTTGAATCTTTTCAAAAAATGAAAAGAGCCATACGACTGTAAAATTTTCCATTCGCATTTTCTATCAATGTGTGATGGTTTCATTACATATTGCGTTTGGTCGATCCCATCCGTCCTCTTCTACACAAAATTTTTACAGATCATATTACTTGTGTGTTCGTGTGAAGGGGGCTTAAAACTAGAATACTAGAAATTTCAAATATCTATGTACTGTCCCCATAGTGGGCTGCCAGATGAATTAAAAATTTATCAATTTCCCGATAAATTTTTAAATAATCGTCATTTTGGTTTTAAGAAATCGTCAAAAAAAATCGGAGAATATGAAAAGCTTAAAATTTTTATAAAAAAATTAAAAATATTGTAATATTTTAAGATGAAATATATTAAAAAATTATAATATTAATACATATTTATGTAAAATTCGAAAAATACGGAATATTATTGCTCAAAATTCAATAAACTTTGAGTTTTGAAGAATATTCGACAGTAATGTTAATTCTTTTCTAATGTTCTCATAATGTTTTCAATGTTCTGGCATTTTTAAAAATATCAAACATAAATACTGCTAAAATTTACATAGTGTTCACATATAGTTTTTAGGTGTAGAAACTTGTTCATCTTTTTCCTTAAATTTCTCAAAGTTTGTTGCATCACAATATTGCTTGTTTTGGTGCACAAGGAATATTTTAATCTTTTTAAGCAAAAAACTGTTTGTAAAATTTTTGAAAGTTTTCTGTAAACAAATACTTACCCAGCAAAGAATATTCTTGATTTGGAAGCAATAAATATAACTACTGCATCTTTAACTCCTTCTATTGCATCTTAAAATTATTGCTTACAAAAAAGATTTGGAAGACATATATTCAGCAATTATTGTTTGTGGTGTAGAAATTTGCTTCTCAACAGCTCTAAAATCACTTAATTTTTTCATCTTTCTAAATTTAAATCAATGTTCAGTGTTGAAAAATAATATTATTTCACTGGAATCAGCGCAATTTCAACAATATGAAATATGCACATTTTGGATTCCTTAGGCAGAGCCTCTACGAGAGGAATCCCATATAAAAATCATATATTCTTTCATAACAAGTGCAAGCAGTAACAACTGCTCTCTGCCTTACAAATCTGCTTCCGAGGAAGCACTATTTTTTGCTGGGTAGATATAAAAAGATTAAACTTGGTGAGATTTCTTCGTAAAATTTAGTTCTTTTACAACACTTGTTTGTACTGGATTTAACTTATACAGTGTGAAAATTTGGTTCAGATCTGTCGATCTCTTCAAAAGTTATAAGAAATAATGTACATAGCATACACATTTAGATGTAAAATATGTGTAAGCTTTGAGAGCTTAAAACTCAAAACACACACGACTTAGAATGTTTTATAATAGCTCTTCTAGAATTTAATTTCTAGTTTTCATTATAATATAAATTCTATTTTTATTGAATTCCAAGTTTAATATTAATTTCTTTTTTTCACTGTAAAATAAAAAAAAATATAAAATCTTTCATTTTTCAAAAATCGTCAGTTTCAAGGAAAAAATCGTCAAATCGTCACTTTGCTATTTTTGAAACGAAGAATCGTCAAAATGACGATAAATCGTCAAATCTGGCAGCTATGCTGTCAAGTTCGGGAAAATATTTCTATTTTTATAAGAGAGAGCTTGTTTTTAAAATTTAACACTAATAAAGCCATACTTTTGGCATGGAATCTTTAACTTCAAGTATTAAAATGTTTTAAAATGTTATTTTTAGAAATATGTGTGGAACTATTTCTTTAAATAGGCCCAAAATAAGACCTTTTTTAGGTTTGATGGACCAGAAATTCTAAGTTACAGCTGAATATCGAAACATCCATTTTCAAATAGTTTATGAAAAATTTAAAATATGTACCTACAAGAAAAAAGTTTGCGATTTTGTTGCTCCATTTTTTACTATTAATATTATTGTCTTGAAAAAACGAGATTTTTTAGCCATATTTTTGACAAAACTTGTGTGTATTTTGTTTTGCTGTAGTCATTTGTTCAATGTTTACCATAGGTGCTAAATTTATATGTATGTATATATTTATATTCGTTACTTATCTATTAATGAACATGTAAATTATTAATTTATTTAATTGTACCCTTCACCTTCGTGAGAAGGGTATATATAAGTTTGTCATTCCATTTGTTATTTCTAAAATATAATTTTCCGACCCTATAAATTATATATATTCTGAATCCTTATAGATAGCAGAGTCGATTAAGTCATGTCCGTCTGTTGAAATCAGTTTTCTGAAGACCCCAGATATCTTCGGGATCCAAATCTTCAATAATTCTATCAGACATGCTTTCAAGAAATTTCCTATTTAAAATCAGCAAAATCCGTCCATAAACAACGGAGATATAAGCAAAAATCCGAGACAACCTCTGAAAATTTCATAAAAAAAACAATTTTTTTTCATGCTTTCATAAATAAGCAACAACTGCTTATTCATTGCGTTGTGAATTTTGCTTTTGTTTTTTTAGTATGTATTTCGTTTCTACGAAATGTTTGGATACTGTGTGTTTCATTGTCTTGTGTAAATTGTTTTTGTTTCTTGGTGCATTCATGAATGAAACTGCAGTTTCGTATATTTGGACGTCTGTTGGTCAGAGGGCGAAGTCGAGCGGCTTCTAGTCGGCGCGTAGTCGCCACCGAACAATTTTTAGTTGCTTGAGCCGCCGCCGAAGAATGCGGCTTAAGTCGACTTAAAATTGTAAAATTTAAGGATAAAGAAATTTTTTTATTTAATAAAATTAAATGCATATTATTTTTTTGAGTCAACAATACAATACAAAGTTTTTATTATTATCAATTAATACAAATTCCAATTGGAAGTTTATATATATTTTACCATGTATACAATTTTTATCAATGTGGCAACGCGGCAATTTGTGTGCTTTTACACTGGCAACCTTAAGATAATACTAAATATATGTGGCAACACTCATTTTTGTTTTCTTTACTTTGTTGACATTTAAACAAAATCTCCCGTTATATTTTTTGCGTCAATAAAACAATTTTCTTTTACAAAATGACTCAAAAAAATATTGATAATTATTTTTCAAAAAAACAGAATCAAGTTGTTTCATCTGATTCAGATTCGGATGAAATGGATATAAATAGAATGGTTTTAAGAAATGCTGATATTTCCTACTATGATGATTTATTTAAAAAAAAGGAGGAATTGAAAAATTTGGCAAAGGTTGTCGTGAATGCGACAGGTTTGTCGGAATGTTGGAAACATTTCGGGGAACTTTACCTAAAAAACCGCCATATTCTTCAAAAATATAAATTTTGCAAAGAATGTCTAGATCAAGGTACTTTGAAAGGGTAAGTTTTACTGAATTCCATATCTTCAAAATGGTACTAATTTTTTATTAAGGTTTGGAAAAGCTACGTCGACAACAAATTATTTAAACCACCTGCGTGTAGTGTACAATCTAAATGTTAAATCGTTGAACTACAAAAAAAAATATGGATATGACACAATCTGCATTAGAATCATCGTCAACTTGCAATGTTAAATTTCAAAATGGACGCAGAATTGCAGAAATGTGCTGCTGGGATCTGCAGCCCTTTTCAATAGTTGATCGACCAGGATTTGTAAAATTTTTAAATCCAAAAACAGTACTTCCTACAGACCGGACCATAGCTACATCTGCACTGGACGATGTTTTTAATGTTTATATAGGCCACATTAACAAAATCTTTGAGTCATCACCCAGTGATATTACACTAGTTTTAGATATGTGGTCAGATAATTATAAACACCTATCATACATAAATATTAAAGTCCACTATTGCCAAAATTTCGAAATGAAAATCATAACATTAAAGACGGAAATTTTCCCACGTCCTCACACAGGATTCGCAGTTTCCCAAAAAATTGAAAAGTGCTTAAATGAATTTAATTTAAATGATAAAAAGATATGTGCGGTGACAGATGGTGGGTCGAATATTATATCAGCATTAAAAATCCGAAACATTACTCGTTACAATTGCAACGCCCACTCTTTACATCGGTTTTTATCACACGATGTTTTATGCCATGAACGGTTCCAACATGTGAACTCAATTTTAAGTAAATTGAAGAAAATATACAGGAGTTTGTTGTACCGTGCTGAAGATATTTCTAAACTACAAAATTTAGAAAATCAAGGGGACCTGGCAAGAATAATTTTGGAAGCCGAAAGTTTCATGGAAAGTTTAAACTCTTATGAGCGGTTTCCAAGCGGTGATGACAATTTTTTAGAGGATTTTGTCCATACACGGCCAGCATCGACATTAAAAAATGCTGTACCGACGAGATGGAATTCACTATTAGTTATGATTAATAGTTTTGTAAAGAACATTAATATAATTAATATTGCATTACTTCAAGTCAATCAAGAGTTATTAATTATCCCAGATATGGAAAAAGAAATTATAAAAGAATTTTCAAAATTTTTGCAAGTCTTTGAAAATTCAACCGCCTACAACAATACCCAACAATAAGCTCTATAATATATTTTTATGAAAGCATACTATCGTCGTTAGAAAAACTGGGAGAGGAGTCTTGTTTCGATTTAACAATACAACTCTGCAATTTCTCAAAAGAAAATTTGCGAAATCGTATAAAGCTGCATAAAATACATGTCGTCGTAGCCCTAATGACCCATGCCAGAAAAACTGGCCGGTATTGGAGAAATATATGAAAAGAGTTCCAAATGATGTCCCCATGTCGTTTCAACTTACAAATGAGGTGGAAAATGCAGCTTCAAAATCAAAAATTATAATTGAAGAAATAAAAAAAATTAAGGATTTGGACGATAATCTTCCATCTTCCAGTCAAACATCAACAAGACATTCAGAAGAACCTTCTAGAAAAATACAGGTAAAAATATTATCTCTGGTTAAAAATGTTCATTAATATTTCTATTTTAGAAAATTTCGAACACACGGCAACAAATGTTGGAATTTTTAGGAACAACAACAAGTTCTATAGAATTAGAAGTCAAAAAATATCTAGAAATAGAGGTCCAAGAATTGGAACCTACTGATTGGTGGAAGGAACAAATGCATGTATGAGTGCAACTTTATTTAATGAAAACATCAATTAAAATTTGTAAATATTTTTAGTTGTTCCCTAATATTTCTAGACTGGCCCATTTCTGCTTTGGAATTCCAGCTACATCCTTATCCTCAGAACAGGCATTTTCACACGCAGGAAGCTGCATAAATGAAAAACGTAGTGGACTTAATCCAGCCACTGTAAAAAAGCAACTGTTTGTACATGACAACAGAAAACTTGTTGAGCCTTTTTTAAAATAATGTATTTTTTGTTTCTTTTTTTAAATTTAAAGTTCAAAGACTGAATTATTTTTTTTTGTTATTTTTTGTTTTTATATTAATAAAAAATATTGAATTTTATATATGAAAAATATTGGGTCTAATATAACAATAAAAACAGTCGGCTCTGAGCCGACTTTAAGCCGCCGCCGGATTATTTTATCTCAGCCGCCGCCGCCGACAATTCTACCTCGACTTCGCCCTCTGCTGTTGGTTTCATTGCGTTGTGTATTTTGTTTTTTTGTGTATTTCGTTTCGTATGTTTGGGTGTCTGTTGGTTTCATTGCGTTGTGTATTTTGTTTTTTGTGTGTTTATTTCGTTTAGCGTTGTTGTTGTTCATTTTGTTTTGCTATTGCTATAATATGATATAGTCGGGAAAATGAAATAAATTTAAATTTTATAAAATTAATATATAATAAATACACTATGGTGGCACAGCCGAATGTAGCACTCTTACTTGTTTTAAATTCGATTTATAAATTAATGGCCTTTTAACTTAAAGTTATACCAATGTGGCTCATCAGGCTCAAATTTAAGGAATTCAAAAATAGTGCCAAAAATAAAAAAATTTTTTTTTTTAAATTTTTAGTTTTGTTATGATTATTTATCAAAGAAAAAGTTGTAAAATATGTATGTATATAAAATTTATCAAAACCTAAATTCTGATTTTAAGTTGATTTTTTCTTCATATATAAAAAAGAGGACGTATTTTTAAATTTTATAATAGTACATTTCTCATTTGCATTTTATTTTAAGAAAATATCGCTTTCCATTCTAAAACTACATCGAAAATCCAGAATCAAGTCACAATTAAAAAAAAATGACATCAAATCCGAAGAAATATATACACCCTTACCAGTGCCTCAGATGGGAATCGACGCAGACTATAACACTAACCCACATTAATAAATTTGTTTCTAAGAAGCGAGAAAGGATGTACAGTTCTGGCAAAATAATATGCTGTTCAAAAAGGAAATATATTGGTTTTAATATATCTCTCCTAAAAATTTTAATTTTAAAAATATTTTGGTACCATCGTATAGATATTATCAATACTAAAAATAGTGGTTATTATAAAAAATGTTCTTTCCCTGTTCTAGTGTTCTTTATCTTTTTAGAAAAAGATATAATTTGAATTGTGCATAATAATAGACTTATTTTAAAAAGTTCCATTCTAGATGAAATTAAATACCACTGGAAAGCAATTTTCATTAAAAAATTATAATAAATTATAGAGGCAATCCTTGAAAGTTCGATTCTTTAACTATTTTCAAAAACAGTTTCGCTATGTTCGATTTTTTTTACTTTTTGAAAAAAAAAAACAAGTAAGAGTGTTATATTCGGCTGTGCCGAATCTTGTATACCCACCATCAAATCATTGCCAAAAAGGAATGCTTCCTTATTAATAAACTTTGATATTTAAGAATCGATGCTTTTGTTATTATCAAAACAATATTCTCATTTATTACATCTATGCATAGGGAAATTTTTGTCGAATTTTGTCGCTGTCCTTGTATTTTTAAGGTAGCAAAAAGCGTTAAAGTAATTTTCTGAGGGGACGTTTGGTCAATTATGGACTGATCCTCGTCAAATTTTCTATAACGATTTTAGTTTAGGCTAGTAATGAGCGTTAAAGCCATTTTACGAAGGGGAACTTATATGGGGGTAGGATAAATTATGGACCGATCGTTATAAAATTTTACAAAGCGATTTAGGTTTCTATTGAATAAGTTTATGTCGAATTTCATAGCTATAGATGCTTCTTTTAGACAATTATGAACCTTAAAGCCATTTTCTGAAGGGACCTCATATGGGGGGTAGGGTCAATTATGGACCGATCCTTATAAGTTATGAGCGCTAATGTCATTTTCTGAGGGTGGCCTTATATGGGGAATAGGGTCAATTATGAACCGATCCTTATAAAATTTTACAAAAATTTTACGTTAATGTCATTTTCTGAGCGGGACCTTATATGGGGGATAGGGTCAATTATGGACCGATCCTTATAAAATTTTACAATGATATTAAAGTTCCTAAAAAATATGTTTATGTCGAATTTCATCGCTATAACTGCTTTTTTTAATCAGTTATGAGCACTAATGTCATTTTCTGAGGGAGACCTTATATGGGGGATAGGGTCAATTATGGACCGATCCATATAAAATTTTACAATGATATTAAGATTCCTATAAAATATGTTTACGTTGAATTTCATTGCTATAGCTGCTTTTTTTAATTAGTTATGAGCGTTAATGTCATTTTCTGAGGGGGACCTTATAGGGGGGATAGGGTCAATTATGGACCGATCCTTATAAAATTTTACAATAATATTAAGGTTCCCAAAAAATATGTTTATGTCGAATTTCATCGCCATTGCTGCTTTTTTTAGTCAGTTATGAGCGTTAATGTCATTTTCTGAAGGGGACCTTATATGGGGGATAGGGTCAATTATGGACCGATCCTTATAAAATTTTACAATGATATTAAGATTCCTATAAAATATGTTTATGTCGAATTTCATCGCTATAGCTGCTTTTTTTAGTCAGTTATGAGCGTTAATGTAATTTTCTGAGGGGACCTTATATGGGGGATAGGGTCAATTATGAACCGATCCTTATAAAATTTTACAATGATATTAAGATTCCTACAAAATATGTTTATGTCGAATTTCATCGCTATAGCTGCTTCTCTTAGTCAGTTATGAGCGTTAATGCAATTTTCTGAGGGGGACCTTATATGGGGGATAGGGTCAATTGTGAACCGATCCTTATAAAAGTTTACAATGATATTAAGATTCCTATAAAATATGTTTATGTCGAATTTCATTGCTATAGCTGCTTTTTTAGTCAGTTATGAGCGTTAATGTCATTTTCTGAGGGGGACCTTATATGGGGGATAGGGTCAATTATGGACCGATCCTTATAAAATTTTACAACGATACTAAGATTCCTAAAAAATATGTTTATGTCGAATTTCATCGCTATAGCTGCTTCTTTTAGTCAGTTATGAGCGTTAATGTCTTTTTCTGAGGGGGACCTTATATGGGGGCTAGGCGAAATCGTGGACCGATATTGCCCATTTTCAATACCAAACAAACTGCATCAATATAAAATATTTGTGCAAAATTTCAGCTCGCTAGCTGCTTCCGTTTGGACTCTATCGTGTTTTCAACAGACGGACAGACAGACGGACAGACGGACGGACATGGCTAGATCGTCTTAGAATTTAATGAGGATCCAGAATATATATACTTTTATGGGTCTTAGATGAATATTTAAACGGAATGACAAAAACAATATACCCCCCATCTTTTTTGATGGTGGGTATAAAAAATAGTTTTACCAGTTTTAAAACAAGGTGAAATGCAGTAAATCTACCAAACAAATACATG